ACCACCACCAGAAGCACCACCACCACAAGCACCACCACCACCACCACAACCACCACCACCATCAACACCACCAACACCACCGCAAACACTACGACCAATCCAACAATCCGATGCACTGCAGAAAAAATTTGGCTGCCCTCGGCATTTTCATGGCAATATGTTTTCAGCCCCTCACCACACCCTAATAAGCCACCACTTGTGTGTGAATCGGACCTGTCTCGGTCGAAACAGCCTGCCTTGCACCCGGTAAAGCCCATACTCCGAGCCACCACCGCCGCCGACACCAGCACCAGTTTTGAAACACCACCGCACCACTGCACCACCGCACCACCGTATCACCACCCCACCACCTCACCACCACCTCACCACCACCGCCGCCACCACCACCGCCACCGCAACCGCCACCGCCACCGGCCCCCACCCCCACGACCACCACCACCACCGCCGCCGCCACCACCACCACCACCACCACCTGTAAAATTCAGCAATCACAATATACAGAGCTGATCAATCTATCACTCGACTCTCCACATTCACAGCAAGCTTGATCAATCATTTGCGCAATCCACGGTGACAGCAATCCAATCTTGAGGCCAAACACCATTCGTTGTCAGTATGTACGCTCACCATGTGGCATACAACTCAGGTCATTGTGGGAACAATGACATCTAACAGAGTCCCTTGAATCAAACTTCAATCATGATTCACATTGCCAAACAAGATTGTCAACATTCATCTTTCTCAAAGTGTTGGGTTGACCTACCATTTCAAAATCTCAACCAACAAAACTTCAATCAGATCCCTCACAGTCGCGCTCAAACTTTCATTGATCCTGGACACTGCATGCGCTTACAATCCACACTCCTGCACTGTACAAATCAGGGCGAAAGCGGCCCATCTCATTTAAAATCAGAGGAAACAGCCAAGCCAGCATCCCAAAGCAATCATAACAACATGGACACCAGAATCAATCTGCACTCCAAAGCGGAAAACTCATCTCTTGACAATCCACCATGTGCGATTTCGGTGTCAGTGGAAACATTGACTAGCGAATCCGAGAAAAGCCATTGCTGACCACTCAACATTTCACACAATCTGCACACCACATGCACTGAGAAGCTTCAATAACATTCAAACTTCCTAGTGGCATCAATCAGCCACTCCGCCAGATCCGCAATCCAGTTCAACCATTGCATTCACGATTTCCTGAGTGCGATCGCGATCTTCCCCGGCATCATCTTCAGCATATTCCCGACCACTGTCATTGGATCAGAGACGGATGGCATTGTGGAAGTCGCCAGTGCTTCCACCATTTCCACAGCGAAATCTGGATCGTATCGCTTATCCCACGTTCACAATTCGCCAACAATCCCTGTTTCTCGCACCATTGCCATGGCAATCGGGACATGGCCAAGCATTCTCCACTCAATCATGGGGCGACAGTCGGATCTGTCAAGTCGACCTTGTTCTCGCCAGTAGTCACACTGTCGAAGAATTGTCCGTTGAAGTGGTTCTCCAAGTTCCGTCGCTTCACATTCGAAGATGTTGGGATGTCACTTGCCATGGCCTCGAACCACTGAAGCACAACTGCTCCTCATTCTGGCTTTCTGAAAAGACGTCTGACTGCTCCATTGCACAGTCTTCCCGAGACAAATCGCGCTGAAAGAGGCATTCCATTGCCCTTGCGTGAACAAAGAAGTCAACAGTCTCCCAGTCTCAAACAATTCGTTCGCCATCAACATTGGCAGCACCAACCACATGAAGAACTGCAGCAGATCGCATTCTCATCAATGAATTTTGGCGTGGCATTTCCACACCACTCCACCTTCCAGGCGGGTGTCTCCAATATCCACCATTCATTCTTTCCCATTGTCAACCAACCGGTCTCCATCATGAGGTGGTCAATTGGCACATTCACCAATGTCATCTTGGGATTCTTGTGCTTTGCCAGCGACAATCTCAATGCCCGTGAGCTTGCCGGGCCACAGACGGGCGGTCCCGTCTGGCGATGCTCGTTGCGAAAGATCTGGTTCCACTCAGCTTGATCGACACCAGTGGTGACCCATCAGTTCTTCATCAACGCCTCTGCCAATGTAATCTGCTCATCTTCTTCATCTTGTACGCAGTCTTGATTGCACTATTGAGGGCCTCAATGTTCGCATTACCACTGTCCAACACCAACCACATTTCACGCAGAACCTCACTCGGAGTCAATCTGCGAAAGGCATTCGCCAACTTTGGGTGCACTGGACCATTCCGCGAAAGCTCATTCGGCACCAGCTCCCCATTGAACAAGTGCGCATTATGAACTTGATTCTGCGCTCGTTCCGTGCTGCCATATCATTCGCCGGGTCAGCAGCGGCATTCGCATTTGCCACATTCGTCACAACGGCTCTCTCTGGAATCGCTGCCATTTCCCCATTCTCACCAGTGCTGTGGGCAGTGGAATTCTCTGCCCGCACATTCTGAGGAGAGCCATCTTCACTCACTTCACGATCCACTTCCAATGGAATCCCACTTACCTGGGCCAACGCAATCATGGCGATGTCATCCTCAAACAACCCACGCAATTCTGCTGCCACAAGTGAATTCTGGATTCCAATATTGATGACATTCTGGGTTCAAATCTATCCTACATATGAACATGCAAAACATTCTGGAAAATCTGTCCTAATGCAATCCACTCCTGCGCAGTCACTCCTAACCCATTCACTTCTCATGCAGTTCACTTGCAATCCGCATAAGAAAAAACATCCACGCTTAGTCTGCCAAGTACAAACAGAGCAGCTCTGAGCAATCCTTAGGATAACAACGTGCATGCATTCCCTCAACATGGCAACGCTACATTGGAGGTACGCTGCAATGTTGCTGATGTGTTCACCTCTTGCGTTCACTTGTTTGCATCTGGGCCTGCACTTTGGGTCTTCAATCTTCGAAAACAACTACAGGGAAAACCAATCCTAAATCCTATGTGTGTTCAGACATGACTACATTCGCAATCGCGAAATACTTGCAAAACGACACGTAACCTATCAGTCTGACTCTTGCAACCTCACTTCATAAACCTGGGCATTCCAGGCCGGCGTTCGGAAAACATTGGCATCATCAGCATCACACCGTGACCAATTACAGTATTTGACCAGTTCTGCATGTCCATTCTCTCCGCTCTCATCCTCTCCGATAACTGCATTGACATGCTTTTTCTAAGGGCATTCCTTACTCTAGTGCGAGTTGCGTCCGTTACTATTGCCTTTCATTCCTTTGCCTTTACCTTGGCCTTTACCTTTCATTCCTTTGGTATTTGCTCTTCCTTTGCAGTTGCCTTGTCTTTTGAACATTCACTCATTTTCCTTTCCATCCTTTTCCACATTTCTTAATTTTACCTTTCATTGCTCTCCTATGTCCGTGGCAGCACTTCCCTGCCCGGACGCACGCGCACCGATGGGCACTGTCAGACGCTTGCTTTCGTATAAGCATACACAATGTCCAACGCTTGTTGAAATGTGGTCACCGATCGAAGGTGCTACCTGAACTGCTGTTGCACTGGGCACATCGTCTTCTGCATGAGCAATGTGATCAACAAATCATCATCAATCGGCCTGCCAGTGGTCATCTCATGTTTGTTCTTCACAGTCAGAAAACCACTCAAATCACTCTCAAGGTGATCAAGTCTTCTCAGCCTCATCCATTAGAACCTTTGCTATTGTCTTGTACAGTCTTACATACCTCTTCAGATGCCAACTCCAATCTTCCCATTCGTCAATGTCACGATTATAGGTGGAAGGTGGGAACCATTTGATCTCAAATCCAATCAATCTCGGCCCAAAATCCATTCTGGACTCAATCTGCATGGCACTGTGTCTTTCACTGCCCTGCAAACCATGAAGGTTCAACAATCACAATAAATAATAACAACCTATCCAAGTACAGTTCAGCAGTCAATCACTCTCCGCAATCACAAAAAGTTTGATCGACCTTCTGCGCAGTCCACAGTACAAGCAATCCAGTCTTGAACCAAAAACCATTTGGTGTCGTTCCTGTATGCTCACCATGTGGCACACAGTACAGGTCATTGGAACAGAGTCATGTAACACCACCGCCCGCCACCAGCAGCACACCAGTACCAGCAGCAGCAGCACGAGCACGGGCATTGGCACCGACACCGGCACCAGCACCACCACCACCGCCGCTGCCGCCGCCACCGCCACCTCTGCCACTTCTTCTGCCACCTCAAATCAACTCTCACTACCACTTCAAAAGCTCTCACACATATCAAGTTTGCACAAGATCCACTAGCTCGTCCTTCCAGCTCCAGCTCTACTGCCATGACCAGCGAGTTCAAGAGCACACAGATCCCGGCCTTAGAAGTTGCACAGCTCCAGGCCAAGCGCTGTAAAGCTTCGTGGGTGGGTTTGAAGGCTCCTTCAAAAGTCCACGTTCTGTTCACGACAAACTACTACGTACTCATACCACAACTTCCAACTTGCTCAGAACCAGTGACCCTCGGCACCTAATTGTAAATGTTGCCTTTAACCGCGTCCGTGTTTCTTGGAGGAAAACTCATTTTAACAGGACTCGGCATACGTGCAGATCTGAATTTCAGAAACCCACCTTTTTGGGATCTCAGGAGTGACCATTCGTCTGTTACCTTTAAATTCTGCAATGCTGCCTCGCCAACAAATCCAACCCCTTCCCCGAAAAATGAAACATATCGTATATTGTACACAGATTTTGGTGGGCTTTTGGGGATCGATGCTTTTCTGGTCCAAACCTTTCCACAACACTACCCGGATGTGACTTCCACATTGCGGTAGCAATGAAAAAACCTTCAAAATCAGGTGGCGTCCGTGATTCATTGTAGCCGAAAGGCGACCTAGCAGGCAAACAAACTTTCCTTACTTGAATCTAGATACCTCTGGAGCAACTTGCAATCAAAGGAATCTTCATGGCAGAAACAGACTCGAAGTTCAACCTGAACTAAATGTTTAAGAGTTGGTGGTATGGTTTTGTTTCCATTCAGAAGTCCTCGTCTTCTAATTCTGCTACTACTGCCTCATTTACTGACGTGACAAGGATGACGACCACGACGGCTGCTGCTGCCGCCGCCACTGCTGCTACTACTGCTAGCACCACCGGTACTGCTGCTAACGGTATCCTTTGCTACTGCCCCTTCTACTCGCACTACTCCTACTCCTACTCCTACTCCCCTGCCCCCACCCCTACCCCTACGCCTACCCCTGGCCCTACCCCTACGCCTATCCCCATGCCTACCCCTAGTACTACTAGGTCACGGCGCTTTATTATTTTCTCATTATATTCCCCGTAAGCCTGCATATGAGGCCGTCAAAAGGTTTAGACAACTCTACTGACAACTTCGAGCCCCCAAGCTTTAGCCCAAAGCAGACTGCGCCGCATGAAATGACAAAAATCCGGACATGTGCATATATATATATAGAGAGAGAGAGAGAGACAGACAGACCTATACATGTGTGGAGTAGTCTCACTTTGAACATCACTTCATGGTGCTGGTGCTTAAGGGGGAGCGGGGGAGTGAATATAAGCACCACTCTAGGTCATCGCACTCGTTAAAAAAAGAACGGAATCATGTTTGGGCATGGATGCTCTGTTCATCGCACTCACTAAAAAATGAACGAAATTATGGTTTGGGCATGGATGATCTGGTCACCGTATGCTCTTGGAACACGAACGGCATTGTGGTTTGGGCATGGATGCTCTGGTCACCGTATGCTCTTGGAACACGAACGGAATTATGGTTCGGGCAGCCATCGCGCTCATTTAAAACACGAACTGAAACCTAATCAAGACAAAATGTTGCCGAAACTGGGGTTTCGCGCGCATGCACGCGACAGAAATCCAAAACTCAGAGCTCGCGACTGAGAAAAATGATAAGAACGTGACGTTTCTCGGAGGACCGTTGGCACCAGTGCTTAGAAGAAAAAAGAGGAAATGTTGCTGAAATTGGGGATTCGCGCGCATGCACACCAAAAAAGTTCAAAACCACAAAAAAAAGCCGGGCAGAAAAAATGCCTAAAGCAAGGAACAGGTCGGATGTCCGTTTTGGCAATTTTGGCGGACAATTAAGAGAAACTGCTGCCAAAACTGTGGTTTCGCACGCTTGTAAGAAAAAAAACGCAACCCAAAAAGTCATTTTTTTTCTAAAGCATCGTTTTCAGGCGACGAACCCATACACGTGAATCGCGCCGAAACGCAGGTTTTAAGCACGAAAACTATGAAAATATGGGGAATAACCCACGGCAAAATAAAGCGCCGTGGCCTCCTACTCCTACTACTACTACTACTACTACTACCACTACTCCTACTACCACCACCACTACCTACTACCTACAACCTACTACCAGCCCCATTAGCACTCAAAGGGCGCGGCCAGCATGTCCAACCGCATTAAGATGGGACTCCGGCTATCCCCACCACCTTCCAAGGCTCGGGTTTCTGGCTTCAACACGCGCATCGCACTGCAGGCACGGGCCGCCCCGGCTTCAGGGTTCGGATTTATGATTTGGGGCTTTGGGGTTCAGGATTGAGCTTGTTTAAGCTACAGGTTGTGAAGAGTTCTGGACGTCGGTGCAGCTGAAAGGATATGAGTCACCACTACTGAATTTCCTCTCAAACAAGATCCAAGCTCCTCCCAAGAAGAAACAAGCTTGTTTTGTTTGCAGTGCATTTGGCTGGAATGCGAGTGTGTGCCACCCACACATTAGAATGCTAAGGAGGGCTGTGTCTTCTATATAGGAAGCCCCGAGGACAGCCTTTAGAACCCCTGCAAGCAAATGTGATGAGCCGGAAATGGATCATATGAATTGGCTCCAAAATCACCTTGATGGCAAAGTACAACCATGGGAACCTGCTGTCCTTCACGTCTAACTGCTGGCCTAAAATCGCATCCACCTGGTAGCTTCGGCAAAGTGCAAAGCATTTTCTAAACTGTGCTCCTCACCAAGGTCGAAAAGCACGTGGTCAGGGAAGGCTGCATACATGTAGACGAGAAATAATGCAATCAAGTGCTCATGTGTCAAATGTTAAGGGCTGATGGGGTGAAGCCACAGTTAAGCTTGGGGGCTCCACCTCTTGGCCCCTAGACACGCGAACGTGGCCATGCGATCACACGGAATCATTCAAGAATGCAAACTTTACTCCATAAGATAGCCGCGAGCATGCTTGACTACCACAAATGATTCGTAATTAATGAAGAAGCCTTGCCGCCAACACCTGCCCATGCAACAACCTTGCCACTTCAACCGACCAGCCTGCAAAAGGGTTGGTACCTTCCGACATTCTTCCCAGATTCCTTCACAAGCTTTCATCGAGGCCAGGCCCAGTTTGCTGCTTCAACTGGTAAATGTCCAGGACCCATGGGTCCACCAAAAATAGGCTTGCTGAAAATAACAAGCTGAACCTCAAAAATGTGCCATTCAATTACGTGCTTCTTCCATCTGCCGGCAAACCCAGTCCAAAACAAGTTTGATCTACATAATGTTTGACGCATCCACCTGACACACCAACATGACTGAAAGGCTGGAATGCCCCCAAAGTGTCGGGATCCTTGCATACAGACCCTTGTCCTGCTGTCAGGTTCATTGTCATGCTCCCCAGATTGGCTATCAATTTCTTGGATCTTCGCTGAAACAGCGTGGTCCACCTCAGATCTCCATATTTGGCGTTTGAGCAGTGGTGCCTGCAAGCTTCACATCACATAGGAAGTGTTGGGGCGGATGGATCTTGTGCACAAATGCGGACAGGATCTACATCATATATCTCAACTACAAGCAAGATGTGTACAACAATGCAAAAAGTGGGTGCTCAAAATTTCGCTTACGTGGACAAGCTGGCAACCCTTGTTTATCACAAGCTTTTGCTACTTTGGGATCCTCCTCGAGGTCCACCAAGCTGCTGTGTAGAACTCATCGCTCAATCTTGGACTGCTAACATTCCTGGGAGCAAGAGGTCAAGGGCCAAAGTTGATCAGATTACGTGGTGCATGTGCGCCTGCACGCCTTCGGACCCAAAAGATGCACTGGACCAATTACATCTTGCCAGAAACATGAGTTCATGTATGAAAATGTTGCAAGCACGACGCTGACACTAGGTTCCGTTTTTTGGCTGCAATTGAGCATCGACAGGGACATTGTTGGCGTCCGCTGCGGGAAGGGATCAACGTCAGGTGGTAAAAGAGGCTGCAACGGGCGGCCACGATGTTCCAGGCACGCAAAAGCTCCTGCCAAGAAACCGCAGTGCCAAAAAAACATCGAGCTGACATCCCACAATCTTGCCCGCCTTGCAACGGAAGCGCCAAATCTGCGATGTGCCTTGGACAACATGTCCACCTTTTGTCAGCAACCACACTTCCCTGAAGTTGGACGAATTGAGTGCAAGACCGCTCACTGCCAGCCAACGTCGGTGCGTTCCGCAAGGCTTCGCGTAGTGTTTCATGCTGCGTGTCAACCAGCTGGTGCAGTGCTCGCCTCAGATCTTTTGGCAATCTGTTGAGCAGTCACCGCACGAATCATGCGAAACAACAACAACAACAACAGCAACAACGACAGCGACAACGACAACAACAGCAACAGCATCAGCAGCAACAAGAACAGCAGCAAGAACGACCACGACAATAACAACAACTGCACAAAGTGGCAAGAGACAGCCAACTTTGAGCCCGCTTAATTGGCACAGAATCGCTGGTGCAAGGAAACCATGTCCATGATCTGCTCCATGTCGGACACGCCCGCCGTTACTATTTGCGACAGGCACTACCTGAGGCGAGAGCATGGAAACGGACAACCACATGTTCCAACGCAATTGGTGCGAACTGTGTCTTGCACCAACGGCGTTGTGCAGAAGAATTCATGCTGAGCCTACGACGCGTATGACCGGCGGCACAAGACGCCAGCGGCGCCACAATAATCATGCAATACATGTCGTGCTTCGAGCCAACACCCGGCGAGATGTAATGGTTCATGGGATGTGGACACAACATCCCGGTCAATTCCCAACAAACAGCTTTGTCACCAAAAAACAGCCAAAAAACAAGGCACCGTCGTGGTTAGCGACCGCGCAGTTTCAGCACGTCGCACTCGGGAGGTGTAAATGGAAAAATGTGTTTCACTGTGGTTTCGAGCGAATCTCCAAAAAGTGTAGGTGAAAGGCATGAGCCAAATTGACTGGTATTTCCAATATTCCTGCTTGTGATGTGTGCGATGTACTGCGTTTTAAAGTGGATTCTGGTGCGCCGCCAAAAGTACCTCTGCACGAAAATGTTTTCCAAGCATGAACGGGAAGCTTTCCAGCGCAACGTCCAGAAGCTGAGCACTGGTCAGCCCCACCCATGGGCTGAAGTTGCAAAAGAACAACCTTATATACGCAGAGAAACCCACGAAATCGGAACAAAAAGCGGACGTATGCGTGAATCGAATGCAATGAAAACACGGACGTTATTATGGTTTGGGCATGGATGGACGCTCTGTGAATCGAATGCAAGGAGAACACGGGACGTTATTATGGTTTGGGCATGGATGCTCTAGTCACCGTATGCTCTTGGAACACGGACGTTATTATGGTGTGGGCATGGATGCTCTGTGAATCGAATGCAAGGAGAATACGGACGTTATTATGGTTTGGGCATGAGGAAAGGCCATCCAAAAAAATCGTTTTTTCTTTTCTTTTTTTTTCTTTTTTTCTTCGGACTTTTCCGTCTGCTCGAGGTGACCAAAGTGGTGTCAACGGCCCCCTGCCACAGCGGCAGGCCGTTCGCTAGCACCTCGATGCGGCGCGCGTCCGTGGCAGGCGCATCGAGGTTCATGTCCCGAATCATCACATTTGAGGCCACCCTTGCGCCCGCTGCTCGGCAAACGCGCGCCGAAGCCCATTCGAGCGGCGCGCCCCGAGCGCCCAGGACTCCGGCTGTGGGGCAGGCTGCTCGGTGCCGCCCAGCGGATCCAGAGCGCCACCGCACCTGCAGGTGCGAGGCGCGACTGGCAGGGGCTGGCGGAGGCGCCGCAACAAAAGCACCCGCATGTGCGAGCTTGACATCCGGAACTCGGGTGCTGTGGGA